TTCTCATTTTTTTTAATTAATATAGTTTATGATTTTTTTTTCTCTTCTTAACTTCAATTGAATCTACATCAAGATAATTTTTTTTTATTTTTTTCACTATATTTTTTTTTTAATTGTTTTTATTTTTAATAATTGTATAAATATTATTGTTAGATTTTTTTTCATATGAGATCATTTTTTAATTGATTTATTTAAAGGATTTTTATTTTTTTTGCATGTGAACTTTTTTATTTGAATTTATTTTTTCATGTTATTTATTGGCTGCAAATTTGTTTGAGTTCATCTTCATTTTATTTTTTCCAAGCATTTTGAGTGCTGTAAAGTGTTGATCAATATTAATTTAATTATTTTATAGTTTTGTAAAATAGATTTTTTAATATTTTTAAATAAATACCGATAAAATTACATAATGTATTTTTTTTTGAATTACTGGTGAAATTAAGCAAGTAATTTTTTTTGTTTGTCTTTTATATCAGTAAATTCATAGCTAATAATATTTTTTTATTACTAACACACTTACTGATGGACAAAAAATTACCAACAAAAGATTCACTGACAGAGCATTTCTGTCAATGATTTTGTTAGTAAATTAATTACCAACAAAATGATAGTGCAAATCCCTTCAATCGGTAAATCTAAAAATTGTAACAGTGTTACTCCTTGTAAATAAATAATTGACTATTATTTTTTAGTATGTTTGATTTTATTTAGTAAGGTAATGTTGGAATCTTGTTGCTTGTCTAGTTTTATTTGCTAATTTCACACAACAATAAATTCATCACTAGGATTCGATTATATTGTTTTTTAATTATTTTTATTGCATATATTATGTTATATTTATTAAAAAATAATATAAATCATATATAAGCACCTCGTGTAATAGCATGAGATTTATGATTGAGATAGTTTTTTATCATAATATCATGATCTTGCTGGAAAAATAATTATGGATATAAATTTTATTTTTTAATTTTATTTAATGAAATTAGATATAAGATTGTATAAAAATTCGTACAAATCCGAAACCCATAGAACTTTTCATAGAGGATTGTGTCACCAAGTAAAATAGATTACATTTTAAGAACTCCCATAATAGTTAAATATTTAGATTACAGTACCTATTCATCAATGTTGAATATAAATACAGGATATGGATATAATTAAATTCACATGTAAAAAAGGGAAACTCTTTTCCCTCTTATAGTTTTTTATAGATTTTTTAACGAGTCGGTGTTAGTGAAATAAAACAAATCACCCCCAAGTCTAATATTTTTATTACAAGACTTTATGTTTTTCACATTTCTGTCCGATTAAAAATTAGTGTCGGTTGTTCATCCACTTGTAAAGTTGTTTTTTATATTTAGATCTGAATTATAAATCTTTGATTTCTAATTAAGATTTTCACTGCATGTTTTTCAGGGGCTCTCAATGTTAAAATAATCCTCTAGTATTTCAGTTGATTTCAGGTGTTATTTATTTTCATTTTAATGAATTTAAATTCATTATCTTTAATTAAAAAAATATATGAATAGAATTAAATCTAGCACGTGTAAAAATCATCTACTTGTAACGCCTTATCTAGCCTGACATTGCTAGAAAGGATCAATCTCGATTTACTAATAGTTGGAAATGCAATTCTAAATTCTTTTTTTTTTTTAAAAAAAAAACAAGAAGAAGAGGAGGAGGAGAAGGAAAGTATTAGCATCTCAATTTGGTATATTTTTCATGGGAAATATTTTTTTATGTTGCGTAGAATATTTGAAAAGGTGGTAAATTATGAGGTATTCATATTTAATCAATTTATAAACTTAATTTATTTATTAAAAAAAAATTTAATTTACGAAACTGCCAGAATATTTTTATATCATTTAATCAACTATTTTAATCACCGTCCTTATCTCTACTATTGCAACAGTCACTGACATCATTGCTTCACTATCATTATTTAATTGATATTTCAACTCACCAAGAAAGGTGCAATAAGGCTCGTTCATTTTACATATATAAATATTCTATGCAAAGCAAATAATTAGTCGATCCTTAATACAAGAAGAAACACGAGCAACAAAAGAAACGACCCCTCGTTTTGTTGTTTACATAGTTAAATCCCCAACCATTTTTTATTTCGAATCTGGGAGCCTCATCGTGCGCGTAATATAACAATACTCCTAGCAATTAATTAGAAAAACAAACGGTTTATTTAGCCATGCAGGTGGTGGCGCGTGAATAACAACCAGTGTAATCGAGGTTATCTGAGTCAAACAAGAGCCGTCATTTTTGGATTCAGAGGAAAGCGCGGACCCCACTAGTCAATAATTGAATTTTCGTTTGCGAGTTTTGACAATCACCGGCGGCGTTACATTTTTCAAGCTGTAAGATTTAGAAAGCAGCCATTCTGGATTGCTGAGCACAGGCTTGTAGGCTGTAGCGTTGCCTCAACGCCAGCCGGAACTTTTTGTGACCACATCCAAGCGGGTGAAAGGAAGGAAAACAAAACAGCCTAGTGGTTTGCGTGCCTCAACATCAAGCCTGTCAGTTTTTGTTAAGATATGGTGATCATTTCGAATTGAAACATTTCAATTATAATTATAAAATTTACAATATGCTTCGTGATGCGATTCCGACAAGGTACTTTCTCAGACTCGAGCATGGTTGGAGAAACACAAAGTAGTGGCATTTAATTTAAAAAAGCTGCTATATTTTTCAAATGTTTGAAATATAAAATTATGCTATGGTATGCTATTAATCATGATCCGTTGCGGGCTTGGATTTTTATTTTTATTAAAAAATATTCTGATGTTATGTACAGGAAGAAAAATTCACAATTTTATGGTAAATTTAACTGAGTTAAATAAATTAATTTTATTCTAATTAAATAATAATAAATAAATCAAATTAATAAAAAATGATTACAATAACTTGTGAATTTTTTTTTTTTAAATGAACAAATAATAAACCTCAATTATTACTTTATTGAATATAAATAATAAAATTAAATAAAAAAACCTGAAAAAGCCAGTCTAAGTCAATCTAAATTAACATGATAAATTTGTAATCTTGTTGGTTAAGATCAAGCCAATCCGAATTATCTTGAATCTAATGTCATGAGATCAAGATGACATGATAGAGAGTAAAATGATGCAAAATCATAAAGATTTTAAAAAAAAAAACAATGTCGACTCGTATTAACCTTTTAAACCTATAACTGAAGTCATTAGGCTAAAAATACTATATTTAAAAAAAATATGAGATACAATTCTCAATCAATTAAATGTTCAAGGATGAAATTAAAAAAATAAAAATAAAAAAATGATGATAAAATTAAATATAAAATAAATTTAATCTTTGACTAAGAGGTGAAATTAAAAAGAAAAAATTTAAAAAATAAAAATTTTAAAAGAAAAGGAATCAAGATTGAAGTAAGAAAAACACACAAAAAGAATCAAGATTGAAGTAAGAAATACATACAAATTTTTTATTCAAGGTTGAAACTTAAAATAAAATAAAATTTAACAAAAAATGAAAAAAAAATGAGGATCAAATTAAAAAAAACAATATATAACAAATTAGAATTAAAAAATAAAATGAAAAACAAATAAAAAACAGACAAAAAAGTAAAGAACAAGAATCATAAAATATAAAATTAAAGTTAAAGTTAAAATATCAACATAAAAAATAACTGAAAAATTATTAATAATAAATCACCCCAACACTACCCACACGTCTAAATAAAAATGACGTTGCAATAAATTACCTGCTCATTGGGCGCGCGCGGTTTTAGCCCAGCGGTGGGGGGCTTGTCCCTTTCTTCCGCACCTGGGTTCAAGTTTTACCATGCACGCTTGTCACCCCCGCGGTGTCTTACATGCTCACTGGGCTTGCAAGATGTTCAGTGGGTTGTGGGGATTAGTCGTGGTGTGCGTAAGCTGACCCAAACACCCCCGCATAAAAAAAAAATAAAAAAAAATGACGTTGGAATGCTTACATCAAAATAATAAAAAGGAATTTTTGGCCTTTAAAAATCATGCCCGTGCTTCTCTAAGTGTTTGGCGCCCGGGCAAACATGCCTTCTTGCCGGCCTACTATCACAGCTGCTGTGGGGGCCCCTGTTTGACTATTGCCTGTGGCCTCAAAATTTTCTTAGCCACCAATAATAGCCCTGGCCCAACTCAATTCATAAGCATTGGCTGTCAGTTTATTCCAGATTCTCAAAATTGAGGTGTGGGCCCATTTTATGAAAGACCTCGAAGCCCAGACCCATTTACTACGTGAACTTTTTCACGCCGCTTAGCTTTCCGTTGACCTAAGTACCAAAATAGGGGGACAACTACAAATCAGCCCCCGACCTTCTAATATTTGGAACGCCCTAGCCGATTGGTCCCCCCGCCATAATATCCAACAGGTCTCACCGGGGAAGCACGCGCTTGAATTTTAAATAGCTGGGAGGAAATTAAAAAATAATAATGAATATAATTTGCTAGAGTAAAGTAAAATAATAATAAGAATCAACTCTCTTTTATGTAGTAAATATAGCCATTCTCTCGTTGTTACACTCTCCTTCTCTTCTCTCCACTGTTCTCGTCGCAACATAAGATTATAATCTTTTTAATTTACATATTTTAACTTAAAAAATATAATATTTTTTTAATATTCTAAAATAATCTTTCTAAATTTATTGTTTACAATAAATATAATCTATTTTTATTTAAATTGCTTCTTAATTTTTTAATATATGATATTAAAATTTTAAATATTATTTTTTAAATTAATCTGTGTAATCTAGGACGGCGAGTTCATCCCAGGCCGAGTTTAATGTATATATGATAATAACTCCTGGTGCATAATAAACGATGGGAATGTGGAAACTTTGAGCCATATTTAATAAAGTTTTGAAGGTTGGAGACTGATATGCGAAGTGCGTCATCGGCTGGGGGCTAATCAGCAGTTTTCACATAATAATAATGATAATAAAAATAATAGCAAAAGCCTTACCGTCAACCTCCAGCAAGGACATCTGAAGACGACACGTGTTAATCACAGCTCACGGTTTCCTCCTCCTCGTCCTTCCTATTTCCTGTCCGAAGTTTTTGACCAGGTCCACTGCGTCCTTTACATCCGCCACAACTCTTGACACTCAGATAATCACTTTCAAAAACCCTAATCACGTATAAAAATTCAAAACCCTTCTTTCCTCTACAATGCAAAAAATAGAAACTAAAAAATCTCCTCCATTTTATACCCTCTCCAACAAACATTGCTCCTAATCTCCTAACACCGCCAAAATTATAGAAAACCTCCACCTATGATTCCCAGGATTTGATGAAAGATCAAAATCCAAATCCAAGAATCCCTAATTTTAGCTTATCTTGATTCCAATTTGAAGGAACTATACTAGGGTTCAATGGAACAAAACCACATCGAATCAAATTCCTACAAATATCTAATAACAAACAAATCATCTTCATGGCTCGAAATCCGATTATTCTACGTAAGAGTAACTCCTTGCGTTATCGAAAGCGTACCCGACCACCTGACCATCCGCCATCTCCGTCGTTCAATCAGCACTCCACTGGAAATAAACGGCTCTAAAATCCCCTCCTCTGATTCCGCCTCCTTAACCCTCCGTCGCGACCGCCTCAACAAGGAATCATCGGAGGTTACGTATGTTAGCACGGACAGCGTGCGCGTCACCCGCGGGGTTGAATTTGAAATATTAGATAACAAGGACATGGTTTTGTGTGGGTCGTTGGAGAGGATCGAAACGACATCGTGGGGGAATAATGGGGGTGTAGGGGGGTTGGAGAATGATGCGAAGACAGGGTGGAGTTTAGAATGCTGTGTGGCGGGCGGGGGTTTTGGGGGGTTGTAGAATGATGCGAAGACAGGGTGGAGTTTAGAATGCTGTGTGGCGGCTGGTGTTTTTGAAGGGAATTCGGTGTTTAAATTGGGGGTTTCGGCGCCGGTGATCGAGGTCTATATTGCTGGTTGCTGTGGAGGTGTGCCGGTGATTTTGACGAAGACCATTTTGGTTGGTCCCATGAAGAAACCGTCCAGGTATGCGATGCTCGATGCGATTCCAGAGGATGAGGAGTTGGATAATAGGAAGCAAAGCGGTGTTATTAGTAATGGGTTGGTTAGACAACGCAAAGTTCGGGTAAATTAATCCTGTTGTCATTAATGCATCTCTCTTTGTTTGGATTTTTAATCAGAAATAGAATGATGGGAAATTGAAATGTTTTTTTTAGAGAAGTTAATTGAGGAAATGCAAGTGTATTGGTTGTTATGTTGCAGGGAAGTGCGGTTGTGAATGTTGTAGGCTTTTTGTTTGATTGCCTTATCGTTGCTTAAGTTGGATTGAAGTTACGTGAGTTGAGTTAATTCTGATTATGATTTGATTTAAGTTTTGTATAATGCAGGTAATGTGGATTTTGATGTTGATTGTGTTTTTTAAGTTGTAGTTCTGCAATGTGTCTGAGCGCTGGAGCATTATGTTTCCTGTTCTTGTTCTATACCGTGTCCAGTGAATGTAATTGTATGACGATTTCTTTCCCCTGAATCTATCTACGGTACCCGCTTTTTTTATTTCATGAGAAGTAGGTGCAGCCTCTTGAACCACTTGTTTATTTGGCGAGAGAGAGGAAGGCAGCTTCTATGTAACATGAGTGTCTCCCTTGAAATTATTATTACCTGTACAAGTCTATCAATTGATTACATTGTGGTGCAGCTTGGAGTTGGTCACAAATGATTTGTTGGATAATGTGCTTCTGTCTTCTTGAAATAAATCATGCAAATACGTGTTCCTCAAAGGAAGCAATTACGGTCTTCTAGATATTCAACTGTAGATCAGCTTTAAGAAGCTTAACAAACTCTTGCACCGGACAAATTGGAAAATTTTCTGATATATTTTGGACATCTTTTTTTCATGTGTTAATCAATGTGAATCCATGATGTGCATAGCTGCTTGGGTTGAATACAAGGACAAACATGAGCATGATTCAATATATATTGAGTGATTTTCTGATGATGTGTTTTAGAAAGGTTGTTGACACCTCAGTTTACTTGGAATAGCATCCCTTCGTCAGCAGTTTGTGCTATTTCAATTGTCTCATCAACATTGGGCCCTTGTGCAGATTACTGAAGCTGAAGATGATGATGGCTATGAATCAGATGAGAAAATTGGAAGCCAATACTACTCAGAAGACATGTATTATGGTGAGGATGGACAACTCTCGTGGTTTAATGCTGGTGTGAGAGTTGGTGTTGGAATTGGCCTTGGGATGTGTCTTGGTGCTGGCATTGGTGTTGGACTGCTCATGCGTTCATATCAAGCAACTTCGAGGAATTTTAGGAGGAGGTTTTTAGGAACCGGATATTTTCTGTCTACTAGCTTGTCACCGTGGATGAACAGAAACAGCTGGAAATATTTCAGAATGTCGAATTACATCTGTAATATTGTTCAATATACGAAGTTGAAGGAGATGGGAACATATAAGGCAGGCGTGATCTGTTAAGTGTAAGTTTCAGTAAATGATACGGAAATTGTACATTATTTTTGTTTGGTAGTTGTAAGATCTATATATCTTGACAAGGAAACCAGCTTAAATTTCATCTCCTCATTCCTCTAGGTGCTTATAAGATCATGACTTGTGGTGGTCCAAATGGAAGTCGGATATAATGCAAATTTGCTTAAATATTTGAACTAGCAGAGCTTGGGAGTAGACTCTGGAGGAAATGACGGCCTTGATCTTCCGATGAACCTGCAAGAGATATACAGGCCTGCATGGGTTCCTGGTGGTGCGAGTGTGCCTCTATAAAAATGCATGTAGTTTTCTGGGTCCTGTAGTGTATTTGTGTAGCTCTCTCTCTAATGTAAGTGTAACAGGTTTATTTTCTCGTCTCAAACTCAAACTACTGCTTCTCATTTTTGCATTTAATTAATTTGTTTCAAGCTGTTTGTTGCACTTCTGAAATAATGGGGAAGTCCTTTGAGACATATCATATCGGAGTGCTGTTATTTCTGTGATCTGATTTTTGCCATCTTTGGAGGAACGTAGAAGCATTGAACCAGGTATTTATTTCCATTTATCCCGAGGCTAAACCCATATGAAATGCTAGTTAGGACTATACATACGAGAATCACCCCCCCCCCCCCCCGGGCACTTTTTTTTTGAAACCGTTTGTTTGCGAAGTGGCTGAAGTAAAACAGGGGAGCCATATGTTTGGTAAAGAAAAAAACGGTATTTACTGTTTATGGACTCTATTGTTTGTTATGTTTGCAGCAGAGGGTAAGAAGAAGCAGACCTTGATTCTGTGGTGAGGGAATCACTTTTCACTGTTTACTTAAGTGAACAGTTAAAAGGCAAATTTTTT